TAAAATTAGGAGTCTATATATTTGGGTGGCTGTCTCTGGGTTCTGTTCTATTGACTAATTTGCATATGCATATATAAATTTATTTTTAAAGATCTGAGGTAGGCAGATCTCTATGAGACCAAAGCCAGTGTCGTCTACATAGTTATTTCTTCCAGGCTAGCCAGGGATACATAGACCTTGTTTTAAGAAGAGGAGGAAGAGAAAGAAGGGGAGAAGAAAAAAAAGTACAGTGACTAGAATGAAAGGGGAAGTCCCTATGCCCAAATATGATCAACACAAACACTAATGGCCAGCAGGGAGGTTAACTATAGAGGATGAGTTCCAGTAAAATCCAGGTACAGTTCTACTGTGATCTTTCTGCCTGAGCGTTACACCATCCTCCGCCTCCTGGTTCTGAATGACACAGAAAGCATGGACTGCGAGCCGAAGGGAGCCGTCTGTCAGTTGCGAGACTGAGGAAGTCACTCTGGATCAGACTAAACCGCAGACTCACGTGGTCTTCACTGACTTGGTCAGAGTAGCAAGGGGTCAAGGACAGCCAAGAGATCACACTAGCTCTTCCTCCCTTAATGATAAGTGTCACTCTTCAGGGACAATGAGTAAAGGGTCCAGCTCAAGAATATCATCCCTGGTTGTGCTTTTGCTGGATGACTCTTCTCATTTAAAAACTGTCAACACAGGACTAGAGCGGTGGCTTCGCAGTGGAAAGCACACACTGCTCTTCCAGAGGACCCTCGTGCAGACCCCAGCAACTCCAGCTCCAGGGGATTCAACACCCTCCTCTGGCTTCTGTGGGCCTTCTCACATAAGGGACACACACATACACAGAAATAAAAACAAAAAAATAATTATTTCTTAAAAATAAATAGTCAACGTAATTAATTCAACTTGGAAGTTGGCAAATGCAAAAGTAGAGACAGTAGTTTTTCACCATGGACACTGGACAGCTGGTCAGAAGCAGTAAGAGAGTGGGGGACGGAGCAAAACTGCCACAAGCTGAGAGGAGGTTCAGCCGGGACAAGCATTAGCTGATCTAGATCCCTGCACCTACACCGTGCAGTTCACAACCACCCGTAACTCCAGCCTTGAGAGCTCCAGTGCCGTCATTCGGCTTCCATGGGTATCAGCACTCACAAGCACACACCAGCACACAAACATACACATATACATACATGAAAATACATCTTTTTAAAAGAAAAACAAGAGCCAGGCAGTGATGGCGCACACCATTAATCCCAGCATTTGGGAGGCAGAGGCAGGCGGATTTCTGAGTTTGAGGCCAGCCTGGTCTACAGAGTGAGTTCCAGGACAGCCAGGACTACACAGAGAAACCCTGTCTTGAAAAACCAAATAAATAAATAAATAAATAAATAAATAGATAAATAGATAAATAGATAAATAGATAAATAGATAAATAAATAGATAAATAGATAAATAGATAAAAAGCAAGTAAGGGAGCTTGCCACCAAGTTGGCCGACCTCAGTTTGTTCTCCAGAATCCACATGGTGGAAAGAAAGAAGCAGCTCCTGCAGGTTGTCCTCTGACCTCTACGTACACACCGAGGCATGTGTGCCCAACCCACCACACATAAATAAATAAATAAATGTGATACATACCTAGAGATAGATAATACATATATAAAGCTGGAGTCTCTCTGACTCAGAAAATAACTGCACCAATTCATAGAGTTTAACAATCTCCAAGTGACCTTTTTTGGAAGTAACTTTTTAAAAAAGATTTATTTATTTATTTAACGTATAAGAGTGCACTGTAGCTGTCTTCAGACACACCAGGGGAGGGCGTCAGATCCCGTTACAGATGGTTGTGAGCCGTTGGTTACTTGGAGAACAGTGCTCTTAACCACTGAGCCATCTCTCCAGCTCTGGAAATGACGTTTTAAACTGAGAATCTAACAAATGTTCTAGTTGTATTTCATCAACCCAAACCACAAACTGTGTTACAACTGAATCTCTAGGTAACATGTTTAAATCCCAAAAGGTTAAATTGAGGGAGGGGGCGTGGCAGGGGGGAGGCCTCAGATTCTAAGAGAGTGCAACTTCAAAACTAGTCCTGGTGGATGTGTGATCCTAGCAGTTGGTATGCTGATTCAGGAGGATTATGATTTTTTTTAGTTAGTTGGGGATACGTAGTAGGACCTTGACTCAAAAGTGAAACGGGCTGAAGAGCTGGCTCCTCAGTGAAGAGCACTTGCTCTTGCGAGGACTCAGGTTTGTTCCTGGCACCCATAGCATGACTCATATCCATCTGCAACTCTGATTCCAGGAGATCTGATGTTTGTTTCTGACCTCCTCAGGCATCAGGCACTCATACACATAAAAGAAATCTGAAATGCACACCACACACACACATACACACACATATACACACACACAGGTGGTGGGAGGGAGGCAGTGAAATAGCTCAGCAGATAAGAGCACTGATCACCAAGACTGAAGACCTGAACCCTGGACCCACATGGTAGAGGAATGAACTATTATGCAAGGGTGCCTCGGGATACAAGGTCCCATGCATGTGCGAACACATACATGCATATGCTTGAACTGACACACATACACATAAATGTAAAATCTATTACAAAAATGAGGTCCTATCGTTCAGTTTTGTTGAAAAGCAAAAGACACTGTTGCTCGTGTGAGAAGCTGCAGAGTAACAGTGTGGACTTGGCACTGGCCCTGGCGTAGAGATGGTGGCCTGCTGGATGGCAGCATTCTGGATGGTGGCATGCTGCCCTGCAGCTGCACCAACTGTCTGACAGCAACAGTTATAAGCCAGCAGTGCAGCTGGTGTTTGAACAATGATGCAATGAAGCACTCTGCGCACCAGTTTCCTTCTCTCCAGTATGGTCATTTTATTTCAAGGGATTCCGTAAATCTCAGGAGACCCCCATCCTCTTGGTAGCAGTATCCATTGCATGCTATGTCAAGCAAACCTTTGATGTGTACATAGTTTGCAGTCAGAGAAACTTTAAAAAATGTCACTTGTTAAATTTTCAGGAATTGCTGGGTTCACATGGAGTTGACATCTGTCAATTTTCCCTTCTTCTCACCATCCTCTGGGCCATCTTTGTGGCAGATATACCACAGAACGGTCTATTCCGTTCCATTTTGTTTTAAGAAAAGCCCCAGCTGCCTTTGACCTGCTTATGTAGGTGAGATGGACCTCGAACTCCTATTCTTCTTCTTCCACCTCCCAATTCAGAAAACCACACCCACTGAATTACCTTTTGAAATATTGCTTCCTTGACATTTGGTAGAGCTAACTGGTAGCCATGTTCTTAAACACCCGTTCCCAAATCTTCCAACACAGTCTTGATCGTCACAGGTTATTGGTCAAGTTCCTTCGATCATCTTCAAACGTTTCTTCATTAGAACTCTGCAGCCTAATTGAAAGCATGATGCTCAATCCAGATAACCTGAGGTTGATACGGGCAGGGTTCGCATGAGGGAAGACAGGAGCCTGAAGACACAGCTACTCAAGAACTTCTGAATATTTTATACAAATTTTATTTGTTTATATTCATTGTAGTAAGTGATGTGTATAATTTTGCTGCAAGTATATCATGTGCTTTGACCACATTTATTCTCCACCCTTCTCTCTCCATTTCCCCTCCCTCTGTTCCTGTTGATTTCTACCTATCTTCCTTTTACCTTCATGTCCTCCTCTGTGTCTGTGTGTGTGTGTGTGTGTGTTTTCATTTAAAATCTGGGATCTATGAATGAAAGAAGGCATGTAACATTTGTTTTTCTTTGTCTCACTGATTTTGCATAATTTAATGACGACCACATTGCATGCATCAGGGTATCACCGAGTAGCTGAGGCTGCCTTTGAACTTGATCCTCCTTCCGAGTGCTGGGATTAAAAGTATTAGTCACTATGCCTCACAGGAAATAACCTTAATATAAAGAACAAAAGTATCTGTTTCAGGGCTGGAGAGATGGCTCAGCGGTTAAGAGCACTGACTACTCTTCCAGAGGTCCTGGGCTCAATTCCCAGCAACCCACATGGTGACTCACAACCATCTGTGATGGGATCCAATGCCTTCTTCTGGTGTGTCTGAAGGGAGTAACAGTGTACTCATATAAAGTAAACTTTAAAAAAAAAAAAGTGTCTGTTTCTTTCTTGTTTGTTGGTTTTGGTTTTTGTTTTTGCTTTTTTGTTTGTTTGTTTTTGTTTTTTGTTTGTTTGTTTGTCTGTTTGTCTGTTTGTTTGTTTTTTGAGACAGGGTTTCTCTGTATAGCCCTGGCTGTCCTGGAACTCACTCTGTAGACCAGGCTGGCCTCGAACTCAGAAATCCACCTGCCTCTGCCTCCCAAGTGCTGGGATTAAAGGCGTGCACACCACTGCCCGGCTAAAGTGTCTGTTTCTAATAAGAAAACAGATTATATTTAAAATAAAATATTAGATCAAAGCCATAATTAGTCTTGACTGGTGAGTCCAATTAAGCAAGAGTAGATCTTTCTAGATTCTTAGTCTCTATGAAACTAACAGTTCTTGTGGACAGTTGCAAAAGCACCTCCAGACCAGAAGGTGTGATTCACCAGGTAAGTTTGGGAACCTGCTTGGGGGACAACATCCCATAAAATGCAGCTCTCTTTTCTTCCTAAAGACACATGAGGCAGGAAGATCATCTGTGGTGGTTTGAATATGTTTGGTCCAGAAAGTGGTACTATTATGAAGTATAGCCTTGTTGGAGTAGGTGTGGCTTTGTTGGAGGAAGTGTGTGACTTTGAGGATGGGCTTTGAGACTTCCTTTGGGCTTCCTAGCTGCTTGGAAGCCTTTCCTGTTTGCTTTCAAAGCCAGACACAGAATTCTCAGCTTTTCCAGCACCGTGCCTGCCCAATGCTGCCATACTTCCACCTTGATGATAATGGACTGAACCTCTGAACTTGTAATCCAGCCCCAGTTAAATGTTGTCCCTTATAAGAGTTGCCTTGGTCATGGTGTCTCTTCACAGCAACGGAAACTATAACTAAGATGTCATCCCATTGATTTCCAGCCCCAAACCCTCCTTAGAGCCTCCTTAACATCCTTATTTCTCAAAGAGTAGATTAAGGGGTTCAGCATTGGGATCACCACTGTGTAGATCACAGCAACTGTGCGGTCCTGGGTCAAGGAGTAGCTGGACCTAGGGCGCAGGTACATAAAAAGTGTTGTGCCAAAAAAGAAGCACACAGCAGTGAGGTGGGAAGTGCAGGTGGAAAACGCCTTGAACCTGCCCTGGGTTGAATGCATTTGTAGGATAGCAATGAAGATTAAGAAGTAGGAGGTCAAGATGGTGAGAGTGCAGCTCAAAAGGTTGAAGCCCGCAAAAATGAAGAGCAAGATCTCACACAGCGAAGTGTCCACACAGGACAGGGACAGGATGGGAGGCCCATCGCAGAAGAAATGTGTGACCACGTGAGCACCACAGAAATTCAGATTGAAGATGCAGCTTGTATGGATAAGAGAGTTGAGAAACCCTGCGCTATAGGAGCCCACGATCAGAGAGGCACAGACATTGGGAGACACAATGGTTGGATAGAGAAGAGGATTGCAAACAGCTACATAGCGGTCATAGGCCATTGCAGCAATGAGATAGCACTCGCTGGTGGCAAAGCCTGCATAAAAGAACATCTGAGCCATGCAGCCAAAGTAAGAGATTACCTTTCTCTCAACCAAGAAGTTCATCAGCGTCTGGGGGACCACTGTGGAAGAGTAGCAGAAATCCAGGAGTGAAAGGCTCTTGAGGAGGGAGTACATGGGTGTGTGCAGAGTGGCACTCACATGGATGAGAAAGAACATGACCAGGTTCCCCAGCACAGTGATGGTGTACATGACCAGGAACACCACAAAGAGCAGCTTCTGGAGTTGGGGGTCACTGGTGAGGCCCAAAAGCTCAAACTCCATCTCCTGGCTCAGGTTTGTTCTTTCCATATTTGTTCAGCTCTGGGGTGCAGACAAACTACAGACGTGAAACTGAACTCTTGGGGACTCTTGCCATTTGCTCAAGCATTCCTGAGATTAGGGTCTTTTGAAGAGATCTGGTTTTTTAGACTGGACTGTCATGGGAGAAGACCTTCTCTTCTTTATTGGTCTGTTTATCAGCAAGCATAATTTGAGAAGCAATGGGAAACATAACAACTACATGAAATCTTTTTGAGATCATAAAAACTCTAAGTAATGAGACATTCGCTCTTAGAGTACACATTTAGTGTTCTGTCAGCATGACTCTGTATCCCCTCCTAAGCACGTGTGGAGTGCTTGGTGGCAGGGAGGGAGCTCATGCACTAGGAACAATGCGTTCTGTGAAAGCACAAAATGAGCAGAGGCTTCATTGTTAACCAAGTGTGTCGTCTGTGGGATGGACCTAACGTCTCTGGATTTCAGTTTTCTTATCTGTAGAGTAAGAACAGCAGTTAACCGAAAATATCGTGAAGACTCAGTGAGTAAGACACAAATCACTTGAACACAGAGTGGCACACTGAGAAAATTCAAGGGATGCTTGCAATGGCCGTTCTCACAGGGCAGGCAGACCTACCACATAAACACATTTAAAAAGTGAGATAAAACAATAACAAAATGTAACACAAAACCTACCAGCCAGTGGTATGGATAGGAACACATGCTAAGCAACAGTACTGAACCGGCTTTCAGGGAAGCTGAAGGGGTTCATCGGCTCAGGTTGAAATGCACCCCTATGGGTACAGCATAATCTGATTCTAGTTACTACTGTTTGTAAAGATGATGGTAGCTGAGGATATGGAGAGACGGGGGTGGTGTAATGAGCAAACTGACATTGTGGACTAGGGGTCATTCAACAAAGGAATATACCCACCCATGTTTATGAAAGTATCCATCATTTTCAGTCGACAAAACACCCTGAGTTTGGGAGCTATTGGTAGACAAGATCAGGCCCCCTCTAAGGGTGAAAACATCTTTCCTATTTAGAGAGTGTGTCTTGTAAACATCACCCTATCTCTGCTCTATCAGCTCCTCTGCTCTCACGGTCTGGAATTACCTCTGGGTCCTAGAGTGGTTTCAGTACACAAAGCTTTGTTGAGGACTCAATTTTGCAGACTCTGAAGCTAGCAGACATGACTAGGTAAGACAAAAACAGCCAATAAGAGCCCTTCTCCTTGTCTTTCAGGAAGTAAAGAACACATCTGTGAAAGACGTTGGATGATTCAGTCCAGAGTTGTACTAAGTATACTAAGATGTTGGTTAATCCCACTGCCAGAATTTCCAGGATCTTGAATCTACCCAGGCAGAATATTCTAGCTATATAGATAACTGAACTTAGCTATGGGTAAGTAACTAAAAGACCATGTTTATCAAGGGACGGCTGTGTGTGATCATAAGAAAAGTTTTGGGGGGCTGGAAAGATGGCTCAGCGTTTAAATGAGCTGAATTCCAGAGGATGTAGGTTCAGTTCTGAGAACCCATTTCAGATAGTTGACAACCACCTGTAACTCTAGTTTCAGAGGATCTAATGCCCTCTGCTGACTTCCATGTACAAAAATGGCATACAGTCCTACAGAAACACGTGTATGCATATGCATGCTGCATAGTCGTCATCATCATCATCATCATCATCATAGAAACTACTTTCGGTAATGCCCAAAGATGATAACATGCACTAAAATCAGAGAGCAGACCTGAACACAGAGCAGCTGGAGCAGGTGAAACACAGTGTGTCTTGACTTATTTCAAGTCACTGGGATGTAACACTAAGCCACCTTAGCCCAACAGCGACTACCTTATAATGAACTCTGCAGAAGACTAACGAATGTGGGGTTCTAGAGTTGAGCCGCTAATGCTGTCAACCCTTTTAGGGTCAAAAATCATCGTAACTCAAAGACAAATCACAGGACTCCAGAGAAATAACTGTGAAATTCCAGGCTGGAAAAAACTTACAAGAACGTGAAGAAAGTCAGCAGCAGGTCATTAAGGGTAGAGGAGAACCGCTCAACCTCCAGCTTGGCATCGCCTCTCCTCAGGAACCTATTTTAGTTCAAGTAACAGATCTATAATATTCCTCTGATTAGAAAAATAGACAAAACCAGAAAACAAAAACAAGTCAAAACTTGAAATGTGCCCAATGCCTGGGATAGTGCGGATGAAGGGGACCCTCCTGGGAGGGCACGCCTCCATTGTGGCAGGTGTTCTCCCTCTCTCTCTCCCTCTCTCTCTTTCCCTCTCTCTCTCTCTCCCTCTTCCTCCCCCTCTCCCTCTTTCTCTTCCTTTCCCTCTTCTTCTCTCCCTCTTTCTTCCCCTCTCCCTCTCCCCTTTTATTGCTTACCAGTTTTCTCCAATCTGCACTAAATTAAAAATCCTCCAGAATACAATGAATTCGGCAAAAACAGATTATAGAGAAGTTGATATCTAACATGTTTTGAAATATCCTGTAGATGGCAGTTTATACCTTGGAAGAAGAAGTGAGTTTTTTAATGTTTATTTTCATTTTATGCGAATTGAGACTTTGCCTACATATATATTTGTGAGAGTGTTGTTGGATTCTCTGAAACTGGAGCTACAGGCAGGTATGAGCTGCCATGTGGGTGCTGGGAATTGAACCTTGGTCCTTTGGAAGAGTAGCCAGTGCTCTTAACCACTGAGTCATCTCTTCAGCCCCCAAGTTTTATTTTTTAGAAGAAGGAGGAGGGGCTAGAGATGGCTCAGTGGCACTAGCCGCTCTTCCAGGGGAACTAGGCTCCAATCCCAGAGTCTACATAGTAGCTTACAACCACCTGTAGCTCCAGTTCTAGGGGATCCAATGCCCTTTTCTGGCTTCCTTGGACACAAAAATGGTGCATAGATAAATACTTGGGCAAAACATCCATGCACATAAAATAAAAAAGAAACAGGGAAGAGTGGGAGTGGAGCATCGAGTAGATGAAGGAGTTGGAAGGGACCTTAGTCATACCTGACTTCTCAACGTTCCCCTTAGGACCAAAAAGTGAAAGGATATATGAAGGACATACTTAAGATTCTTAAGAAATGGTGACTCTCAACAAAAGGTCACTAGATAGCCTTACTATATGTAAGATGCCAGGTTTCAACTGCAGGAAATCTGATCTAATAGGTTTACAGATGAACCAAAAAAAAAAAAATCTGATGATTTTACAACAGGTGATCTTTGAACTTTAAGGGGCACTAAGCCATGAGGCATTTACATGAGGACACAGACCTTCCTAACCACACATTCTTTCCTAACCTGCTGGAATTCTCTGTGTCCTGATATCAGTAGAATGGCTGTCCCGAATGGTCTCTTCCCTCCTGAAGATATGCCAGTAGGTAATAATTCTTAGAAAGCTGGGCTACTTTGTAGTCATTAAATACCAGATGAGATGTTCTGTAAGCCAAATCCTAGCACATGATTTGATGGTTTTGCTCTGGAGCTCCGAGCACAAGCCTTCCAAGAAAGAACAATGAAAACAGAGGCAGACTCTGTCCATTGACTAAATCTGGGGATCTCATGGGGTAAGGAGTGAGACAGCCCCCTTCCCTGTGAACCCTCACCACCAGTCTTTCATGGGCAAGAGACTCTCCAGAGCCATCTTTCCCTCTGGGCAGCTCACAATGGGGAAGAAGTTTTCATGACGGGATTTTAGGAGACAAGTGAGAAAAGGGAGTAATTGGTCCCACAAAGACCCATTAAAGTGTTTGTTATCCAGAGTTTCTGCCCCCAGGAGTCAGGTGACTGAGAAACTGGGGTTGAGGGAATGAAACCCACCAGATCCCTGGAAACTTGTGGATCATTACCTCAAGGAAGTTCTTTACCTTATCTAAATTATTATCTGTGTTTACTCTATAATAGAAAATTAGGTTTTCCTTCTAGGGCAGTTAACCAGTAGACACTTGTGCTTTAAATTAGATCAACACAAACGTTCTGTCCTTCATGATTGTATTAATAGTACAAGTTAGAGCTTAATTTAGAACTTAATTTCCACATGTTTGGGGATTTTCTAGGACCTTTGGTTATTGGTTTCCAATTTAATAGCGCCTGGTCAAGGAAATACTTTGTATGACTTGAATGTTTCTGAATTCATTGAGTAAAATACAGCCTATGTTGTTGGCTGTTCCATGTCCATTTGAGAAGAATATATTCTCCTTTGTTGTGGAGTACTCTGCAAATGTCACTTAGCTCAAGTTGGTTGATAACATGGTCTAAGCAAAACACATCCATTCAGTCTTTACACTCTCCTTCTACTGGTCATTGAAAGGTAGCATATTAACATTTCTATAATAATGGATGTTTTACATTTGACAGTGTCTCACTAGGTAACCCTGGATGGTCCAGAATGTACTAGGTAGACCAGCTGGCTGGTTCAGAATGCACTAGGTAGACCAGCCGGCTAGTCCAGAATGCACTAGGTAGACCAGCTGGCTGGTCCAGAATGTACTATGTAGACCAGCTGGCTGGTCCAGAATGCACTAGGTAGATCAGCTAGTCTCAAACTGATAGAGAACAGTTTGACTTTTCCTCAAAAATGTTAGGATTAACGATGTGTGCCACCATCTCAGGCAATCAAGGATGTATTTCAGTTTTGATCTACTGTATTCTGAAGTCTCATTACTAGGTACCTGCTTGATCATCTTTCCTCTGGATAAACTAAGGAATCTAGAGCCAAAAGTACCTGCTGGGTCTATAGAGGCATTACAGAGGTTAAAAACACATGCTTCTCTTGCAGAGGACCCAAAGAACACTAGTTTCAGAGGCATCTGACGCCTAATTAAAATAAAAATATATTTTTAAAAAGTGTTGTTTGTTTGTTTGTTTGTTTAAGACAGGGTTTTTCTATGCAGCTCTGGCTGTCCTGGAACTAGCTCTGTAGACCAGGCTGGCCTTGAACTCAGAGATCTACCTGCCTCTGCCTCCCGAGTCCTGAGATTAAAGGCCTGTGTCACCACCATCCAGTGCTGATATTTTTTAT